TTCAACCATGTCTAAACAATGTAATTTTCCGCAACCCAGACCTCCTTGCCCTACCTGGCTCTGCCCCTGAGCTCTACACATGATCTAAACCATAATTAACCATCTAATAAGCTAAGGAATACACAAAAACAGACAAAACACACATGAGAAGAAATAAAAAGGGCATTCAACACACCAAAAATAATTACATCTCCAAAGTCGATATACATAAATTATACACTACTTAAACACAACTACACATATATACATATATTATACATCCGCTGTCTATTCTAAGTAAAAAATCCCAAAAATCAAACCTTTTACATCGCCTATGCTGAGAATAACCATATGCACATTTCCAAGAACTTCCATTTTGTTTCTTCCCAACTCTTCTCTGATTTTCATCTTTTACTAAACTATTCATTGTTTCTTTGATCACTAAGAAAAAAAAAAAAGACTATGATATCTCACATTATATTCTTGAATACACTACAAACTCATTACATGTAGAAAAAAAACATATTTAACAAAATAAAAATAAAAATAAAAATTCTCTCAGCATGGATTATGATAAATGAACTACAAGAAGAATAAATGAAGGAATGACAGCAGGATCAATGATTAATTTAATGGGGTTTTCATAGAAATTAATTGGACCATACTAAATTAACAATCTTGAATAAATTGAAACACACACATATATACATATAGAAAAAAAAGATATATAGTAGTAGTAATTACCAGAAAAAGATGGGACCAAAGTTAGCTGCAAAGAATTGAATTGCTGAACTTTAGAGTAGTTGAGAACATTGAATGATATTGTATTTAATTTCACCTGTCACTCTTTTGCATTTATGTTGTTGATTTTGGTCAGAACTTTTTGTTGAAAAAAAAAGGAATTGGTCAGAATTTTATTTAACGGAAAAAACAGGGGTGGTAAAATTATGGAAAAAGGTCAAAAATGTTTTAAATGTATGATAAATGGCTTGAATGATCCTCAAAAGTCCTCGTGTTGTATCCCTCATTTTTTTGGTTGTTGTAATTTAGCATAGTTTCGTCTATTTGATGATTTTTTTGATTTTGATACATAATGCTATTGTCCATAATACTGTTGAGAATGAATTAACTTATGAAACTATTTAAATGAAACTTTTGAGATTTTTATTTTTTATTTTTTTAAAAAAATAAAGAGTGTTTTGCTCATCATTCTGCTTGGATATTTGGTTTCTTTAAAGTTATTCACAAAACCAGATCAAGATGAAAGTGGAAGAAAGATTCTTGGACAAATACTGCCTCGAAATAATTATTATGTTTTATTTTAGTAGAGTTAATGACTATATGAAAAATACTAGTCTCTTCGGCATAAATTATCTATTATATTTTTTTAAATTATATATCTAAAGTTATTGGTCATATTAAAATTCATATAATTTTATTTTCAAGAAATAAAACATGATAAGTATGTTGAAACTACGAAGATAGTAGCTTTCAAAATGTTGGGCTATATATACTCCGTGACCACATGATAGCTATGTATAGCATGCATGCACCGAAAAATATATGGGTCTCACTACCAAGCATATGGATGTTTTGGGACTCCCTCCGTTTTAAAAAAAATAATCTTATTTTCTTTTTAGTTTGTTTAAAAAAATAATTTTTTTTCTTTTTTGGCAACACTTTAACTTTAACTTTTCACCTGACATGTTTAAGGCTACAAAATTAAAGGACATTTTGGTACGAACATTCTTTTTGAAACGGAAGGAGTACTATTGATCAATGGCGGAGTCATATATATTGAAGAATTACACTATGTAAGTAAGTAATTTTTTTTATATTTATATATATTACATATTAAATTTTCTTAATTTTTATGTAATTTTATTTTTTTATATTTTCACAATTCTAACTTTGTCACTAACTAGTTAAATGGATGGTGTCATTATTGCACCAACTCCATCAAACTATGCATCGAGATCCATCTTTTAAAACAACCTGTTTAAAATTTTGGAGTTCGGACCATATTTTGGTCAATTGCTTTGTTGACTTTGCTTCTTGGTTTCACATTTACTCTGAAGTTTCGACTAAAATTTTATTCTCTTCTTAGTTATTTGTTCACTTTTAAATTGACACATCTATTAAAAAAACAATTATTAATATAGTAAATTTATTATTTTACCTTATTAATTATGAAGTGGGTGAATTAAAAACTTAGGACTTTTGAGAAGTTCTATCTTTTCCAAAGTAATTAATTGAGGGTATAATATGTAAAAAAAAAATTGTCTTTTCTTAATTTATCAAAATAAACAAATAATTAGGGACAACTAAAAAATGAAAAATGAACAAGTAATTCTTTCCCTTTTGGTTTGGTAACCTCTATCCCTCAAAACCTTTTTTCCCATTGATTATAGTTTTTCACACCTTACCACCTTAATTTTTTATTTTCTCCGTTCAATAGTAGTTGTTTACTGTACTACTTTGAGATGTTCAACAATACTTGTCCACTTTATAAAATTAATGAATAATTTTACACTTAGTTCCTAAATTACTTTCATCATTAATTATAATTGTTTCCTTATTCAAAGAGTGATATAGTAAAACTATCTTTTTATTTATAGTTTCTTAATTCATGTGCAAAGTCAATAGTAGATAACTATAGTTGGACAGATACAGTATAAGTTACTTCTTCCGTTTACTTTCACTTATTTGTTAAGTTAAAAATAAATAGTAATTATTTAATTTAAAAAATATATTAAAAAAATAAATTATCATCATATATCCATTTTATTGTTATTATTAAGTATTATGATTTATTTTCTAATATATTTAAATGATTTAAAATAGTCAAGATATTGAGATCAAATCAAATAGAATATCATGTGCAGATTCATATTTGTAAATCTCAAGGATAATAGATTAGATAACAACAAACATTATATTAAAAATACATATTATTTTAATAGGATTTGGTCAATTGACTTAGAAAACTAATATAAAATAAAAAGTACAAAATATGAGAAAATAATCTCTCTCAAGCAAAATTCTCTTGACAATTACATTATGGATATTAATGTCAAATTAATGAGGGAAAATTATATATAATAACAAACTATTAATTTAAATTAAATGCTATAAACATAGTTTGATTTAATTGTACCATATAGCAAACTGTTGCTATTTCGCTTTTCTCCTGGTGAATTTCGCTCGCCACTCTCGTTCTCTTCCTCGTCTCTCTCACTTTTTATACAAATGCAAATGTATAAAATGCGTTTGTGTTTGTATAAAGCGAGAAAAATTGGATATATACATATATTTTCGTTTCCCTCTCTCCCCTCTTCCAGATTTCGCTCGCCACTCTCCCAGATCTCGCTAGCCAGTCTCTCCCTCTCCTCTCTTGCTTATACAAATAGAAATGTATAAATTGCATTTCTGTTTGTATAAAGTGAGAGAAAATTGTATATACACATGTAAATACATATATCTTCGTCCTATACACTTATAATTATACAATACAAATATTCTCCTGCCCAGTTCTCTTTTATCTTTCTCTCTTTCTCGCTTTATACAAACACATATTATACAATTGATCTTTTGTATATGTATATCGAAACAGAAACAAATTATACACAACTGCTTAATTTTGTATATGTATAGCGAAATATACATATTTATGTTTGTTATGAAGTGCAATTATGAAAAATATAGCTATAACATACAAATATAATTTTTGTGTTTGCTATATGTGAAAGTTGCTCAATTAAATATAAACAAATAAATATGAATCCATGTTGTACAAATTACAGTGTCCGTTTCTCGCTAAAAACTCATTTTAATACAGGATCATTTAATATACGGAATAAGATAAAAGCAAAAATATTTTTTATAATAATTAATTTATCTCACTTTTTTATAAAATAAATAATTTTATTATTATAATATAAATTATGAAACTAATTAATATCGTACCCTCAAACCAACCATGTCATAAAATTAAACTTAATATTTTTATCATCAAATTATTATTTTTATCCATCCTACCAAAAACTCGGTCAATATCCGGTAGAACATGGAATTTCCAAGATGTTTCTTCAATTCTTCTAGAAAAACTAGAAAGACAATTCAGCTACGTTTTCCAGAGAGAAAGCCCAAAATTTTCTAGTGTAATCTTACTGACAAAGCGAAAATAAAAAATGAAAACGCGTACACGTTCTACATAATCATCGTCTATAAATTATTATAATTCCATAACTATATGTCCATCTAAGACAAATTCCACTCAAAATTCAATTACTCAAGCAATTTCTTCAATCATGACAGGCACAGGAGAGGAAAATCAGCCCAAATTTCAACAATCAGAGCCTCAGATACCTTCTGTTTCTTCATCTTCTTCAGATCCTCAAGCACCAGAAATGGATCAGCAAAAATGGGGAACTCATATTATGGGTCCGCCTGCAATTCCAACTTCTCATCCAGACAATCAGAAAGCCGCCTTATGGAGAGCTGAGGACCAAAGAGAAGAGTTTCAGCCACTGCCTTACGTTGTTTATTCCCCAATTGACAAATCTAGCAATAACCCACTTGAATCGGTTGTTAATGTGTTCAATTCGTGGAGTAATAGAGCTGAGAACATCGGCCGCAACATTTGGTATAATCGTAAGTCACTCAACTAATAGTTATTATAGTCAAAAGGAGTATTTACAATTTTTGACTAATGATATATGTGGGTCATGTCTGTTGTAGTGAAAGCTGGACCATCAGTTAGAGGAGCGGCATGGGGAAAACTTAATTTGACAGCCAAGGCGTTGACAGAGGGTGGATTTGAGCCTCTTTACAAACAGATTTTCGAAGCAGATCCTAATGAACAGCTGAAAAAGACATTTGCTTGTTGTCTTTCCACTGCAACTGGTCCTGTTGCTGGTACACTCTATCTGTCAACTACGAAAGTTGCTTTTTGCAGTGATCGCCCATTATCATTCAAAGCTCCATCTGGTCAGGAGGCCTGGAGCTACTACAAGGTATAACACAATCCAAACAAATACTCTCCCCGTTTTAATTTGTTTGTTTGATTTTGATTTGACACGAACAAATTAAGAGCAATATGCTAGCTATAAGGGTTAATTATATTTGGCTTCAATCGGTAAGTAAACATTCCAATTTCTAAAGTGCACACTGGTTGTTTCGACTGATAACTGAATATTTCTCATTGTGTCTTGTGGATATTCAATGTTGAAGTGATACAGAAATTTTGGAAGTGTCTGAATATGACTATTTTGTAAATTAAGAGTCTTTAGCTGATACGAGTTGAGATGTTTAGATGTGCCTATAGAATAGACAAGTTGAGATGTGTAGATGTGCCTATAGACTAGACGAGTTCAGATGTGCCTAGCTGATACAGTATAGACGAGTTGAGATGTTTAGATGTGCCTATAGACTAGACGAGCTTGAGATGTTCAGATGTGCCTATAGACGAGTTGAGATGTTTAGATGTGCATATAATGTAAAGTGCACACTGGTTTCGACTGATAACTGAATATTTCTCATTGTGTCTTGTGGGCATTCAATATTGAAGTGACACAGAGATTTTAGAGGTGTCTGAATATGATTATTTTGTAAATTAGAGTCTTTAGCTGATACAGTATAGACGAGTTGAGATGTTTAGATGTGCCTATAGACTAGACGAGTTGAGATGTTCATATGCGCCTAGCTGATACAGTATAAGATGAGTTGAGATGTTTAAATGTGCCTATAGACTAAACGAGTTGAGATGTTCAGATGTGCCTATTAGAGTGTTTACTTATCATCTGATGCGATTTTGAACTGTGTGCAGGTAGCAATACCTTTGGGAAATATTGGGACTATAAATCCAATAGTGATGAGAGAGTCTCCACCAGAGATGTACATTCAGATTGTTACCATCGATGGTCATGATTTCTGGTTCATGGGGTTTGTGAATTTTGAGAAAGCAAAACGTCATCTACTTGACACTTTGTCAATTTTTAGAGCTCAACCTCCTCATGTTGGAGAAGTCAATGTGCCACAACCAGCTACTTACTAGAAGAAATTGCCTGTCATAGCTTATTGGGCTACACTCTGTTTTAGTTTGTTTTTCTTTTTCAGTTTGTTCCTGCATTAGATATATCTTTGTATTTTTTTATTGTAACATTACTTGTATGTTTATACTTATTTGGGAGTGACTTGGTTGTTTTGATGAGAAACTCTTGCGTTTTAATTTTTTTGTTTGGTTTTGACTTTATACAAAATCTACGAGTATAGATTTTGAGATTAGGTAAAAGAAAAGGAATTGCAAACTAACAACTTAACTAGATGTGTTAGAACACTTATTTCATTGATTATTTTCATGCTTTACTCCTTCTAAGTCTATGAAATCTAAGATCTAAGATGTAAGTTGGATGAATAATGCAGAGGGATGTTCATCTTGCTTAGGGAGTTGTACCGAGTCTTATTAATAATTAGAAGGTTTTAAGATAAAATCAAACCAATAAATTGAAATAGAGGAGTAACAAATAACTTTTTCTTAAAGCATGAGCGTATATTTCTGTCAGAAATCTTGGTTTGAGACGAGTCTTGAAAATGAAAAATCTTTCAAGAAACTTATACTTATACCTCTTTATTGGGCCTATTCGAGCAAAAATCAAATGGATATCATATACTTGAGCCCTATTAAAAATTAATTACATCGTCAAGGAATAACCAAATGTCTAATAAGAGGTGATAGATCAACAATCACGTATACGTAAGTTGATTTCTCTAATGATTACTCAGTTAATACTTATTATCTTATAAAGTCACTATGCTTCTTGATTCTAATTTTATTCAACAAAGAAAATGACTTTTTGAGATATTAATTATTTACTTAATTGAGTGATCATCTAAGAAATCAATTCAACGTGACATAGAAATCTAGCGACTTGCTACATGTTTGGACTTCCTATATTCCGTGTGAACTCTGAAGTAGTTAATTTGCAAAAAAATCTAAAATTTTAGCTGAAATTAGCACATATTGTTGAAAGGATAACTCTCACGAATAGTCACTTTTTGGCCCCGGTAACCGAAAAATAATCATTGTCGTAGAACTTCAAATTCTACATGTGAAATTTATGAAGTTTCTTCACCAATGAAAATTGAAAAAATGGCTATTTTTTAAAGATAGGGTCGAAATGGCCGGTAGGCTCATAGTTCTAACTTATTGGGCCTGAAAATGCCGGGCTTTTGCAGGCTGTTCCTACCCATGGAGTTACTGCTGGGCTCAGTGGATTTGATGGAGTTGTGATGGAAATAGTCATCACTTTTGCACTTGTGTATACAGTTTATGCTAGGGTGTGCATGACCGGGTTGGTTCGAGTTTTTCAAATATCAAATCAAATCATTTGTGTCAGATTTTTAAATCTATAAACCAAACCAAACCAATAAAACTCGGATATTTCAACCTCGGGTTTTTTGGATTTTCGGATTTTTTCCGGTAAAGTATTCATACAAACATATAATTTACTTGTACTTCAAATATTTCTTTAGTCCTACCAAAATACAACTATCTAAGGTGTTTCTTAAGAAAATAACACAAAATATGATATGATAATGAAAATGATCATAATTTAAAAGTACTAAATCATGCTAAAATTAAGTTTAATAAGTATTAGTTACATGACTAAATATTAAAGGAAATTAAATTAGGTTATGTATTTTAATTGTCTAAACCAATGTAAAACTAAAGAACAAATATTCAATATTATTGTCATTCTTAGTGTTGAATTGATTTTCTTTTTGCATTAGTATTAATTTGATTTTGATTTAAGCTTTATTATGATTACCAACATCTGTGGACTATAATATTTATTGAACCATTCAGAATTCTAAGTTTCAAACTTGAAATAATATATTAAAAGATAAAAACTATGAAAAAGTATAAGAAATATTTAAAAATTATATCAAAGTAAATATTTTTATGTATAAAATAAAATTTTAAAATTATATATATAATGTCGAGTTGGTTTTTTTTAGTTAAAACCAAACCAACCCAAATATAGTAGGGTTTTTTTTTTCAATACCAAACCAAGTCAAACCAACCACTAGTCGGATTTTTTTTCTTGGTTTACGATTTGATTCGGTTTTCGGTTCGATTTTGTACACCCCTAGTTTATGGCACTGCAGCAAACCCCAAAAAAGGGTCACTTTGAACAATTGCACCCATTGCAATTGGGCTCATTGTTGGAGCTAGTATATGGGAATTTTTAAGAATTTCATAATGTTAAGAGCTAATTACATCCCATCCTTACTCTTTTTCAAATTACAAAAATTCCGGACATCCCAAAATGTTCTGATACATACCGTATCGGTTTCGGATACATAGCTCAACGTCCCGATACGTTGCGTTTGAGTTTTGGATACATCACTCAATGTTTCGATACATCGTACGTTCCGATACATCGCATCTCGCATACATCTCAATACATCGCGTAAAGTGATGTATCCGAGAATAGGAGAGAGTAGGAATTTTTGTAATTTTTTCAAATGGTAGGAAATTTTAGAGAATATGATAAAATAAGTTGTGTATTTAAGTTATTTTAAAATTTAGGAATCACATAGTTTTAATATGAAATTACAATTTGTCCTTATTTAGTATGTAATTACATTAATCCCTGAAAAAGTAAAATAAAATGTGGATGTTCAATCTTTTTTCAATATTTTCTCCCTTTATTTCCTTTTACTAAATTTGAAAACGTCAATTATATGGAAATTAGCAATTCACTTTCCTAATCTACCTAAAAATTACTCCTATTCAATTTGTTTGTTTTACTTTTCTTTTTAGTCTGTTTAAAAATGAACATCTTTTTCCCTTTTTGACATATTTAAGACATATTTAATTACAATTGTGCAAAATTAAAATCAGATAAACAAATTGAAACAGAGAGTAATAACAAGAAATCCAAAAAGAAAATTTAACAGAATAATATCAAAGACAATTTATTTAGGGCTAGAGTAGTAGCTAAACAAGTTAGCCCGTGTTTAAAGATTTTACCTGTACAATTATTTGAAAATGTATTTATTCCAATCATTATGAAAACTCTTTATCAAATTTGTGATGTTCTAAATTGTTTGGTACCAGATATATATATATATATAACTTTCACAACTTTTAAGAATTTAAATTCATTAAAGTATTCACACTTAGTTTAGTGTGATTTTTACTCGCTAGCGGGTAGTAAGGGTTTTGGGGTTCATTCGAACTTTTTTTGGTGTAAAATTATATTATTTATATATAGTTAATTTGTTTTTATGTATATACAGTAGATGTTGAATTTCTTTAGCTTTTTCGTGTGTTTACTTCTTCATATTTAATTTTAGCTTCGTTAATAATTTTTTTAATTCTACTGCTACTCTCTACTTACGAAGTTATGTTTAAAAGATACTTATTACACTGGATATGTTATGTATGTTATGTATGTATCTTTGGTTGAAGAATTTTATCTTTTTTTCAATTTAAAGGCAACTTTATCACATTGTTGCAAAAGTTAAAGCTCAAACAATTCAAGCTAGATTTATAATATATAAATTCATAGTTTAATTTTTTCCCTTTAAATTTCATAACTTTGTATGTTTAATGATACGTAATTACGTATGATGCACAAATTATCTGACTAGACAATCACATATGATTACGCATGTTACATGTATATCTTTAAGCCACTTTGTGTCATTCATTTTAGTGTGATGATTCTTTTCAATGGCTCCACAGAATTGGACAAGTTTTTTCACCTTAAAATACTTCAAAATTGAACCAAAAAAAAAACTTCAATCAAATCATACCTAAATGCATTTCATTTGGCTTTATTTAGCAACCAGTCTAGGGGTGATGGAGCGAGGTTGTTTACTGAAATCCTTCTACACAAAATTACATTGTATATATAAGATTTTTTAATATATATATATTAAAAAATATCTTTATATATATATATATATGTATATAGAGAGATGTTGAATTTTTTAAAAATAAGACGAGAGATTGGTTTTAGCGGTTTTGGGGGGTTCAAATTTCGTCTTAATATTCCAAGTTTGAATCTAGGCACTAGATTTTTTACTTGTCGAAAGCCCTTAGTGAAAATTCTAGATCCGCCAGAAAAAAATAATCCTACAAACATATTTTGTATTTTATTTATCAATTTTCCATGAAAAATGGTACAAAGAGGAAAATATTTTTCTAAGTTTTTTATTTTTTTTATGCTTGGTTGGTGAAACATTTTCTCTAAGAAAATAAGTTCCTTGAAAATTAAAAGAGGAAAGGATCAATATTGCCCAATAGACCACTTATATTCTCCGTTATATTTTGAGATAAAAAATGTCCATTCCGTTATCTCTAGAGATCACAAATACTTTCAAAAGTTAACAATACACAATTTTTAGTGATGTGACACGCCACATGAGACTATTCCTTCCATATAAACGTTACCAACTAGGATTCCACTATATTATGAGTTATTAATTTTGACTTGATTTGTCACCCAAACCCTAACCCGTTCTTGCTAAGTGCTAATCCATTGCTAATGACCCACCAAAATTAAGAGGCAAATATGGATCTTTTCTTTTCACCTCAATATCCTCACTATTCAATTGAACAAGCTATATAAGTGACATTTAATGCTATTCCTCCAACCCCTTGCCATCCCATATTATATAGGTTTGAGATAATATTTTTTC